CCCCAAAACCCCAAAACCCCAAAACCCCAAAACCCCTTGGCATAATACAAATACGGAAATTTTTAGAATCTAATATAAAAATAAAAGCAAGTATGGGAAATCTTAATTTCGTTGATATTGCTAAGGACACACAGCAGATCTCCAACAATCAAGTCAACTTCAATCTTGAAGACATGATGAGAGAGGATATTCTATGGGAAATGTTCAAGAAGTTTAGATCTGGTAAGCCTTATTAGAGTAGATTTATACCTTGTCATATTAAAAGATTCTGATTTATTGGATCTTAGATATGCTGAACCCTACTTCCAACTATCCCTCTACTGATATATGTGATATACTATGAAATTGATTTGGAACGCTCCTTAACTCATATTTGTTTAGAAAACGCTAGAAGCGGAGAGATTGAGGAGAAGCCATCTCAGATCAACTTCTTTAATGAAAACAATCTTGCTGAAGAAAACAACTACTCTGATAAGGCCAAGAATGGTATTATAGAAGAGCTAAATGAGCTCTATACTTCAGGTCTGTGCAAGCCTCAGTACATAAAGGCAAAGTTGAGGGAGCCAAGTAGGTGAATATCTTAACTGTCTTCATATCTTTTAGAATTTGAGAAGTTCTTTGTCACCCGAGCTTCAGATTGGAATGGAGAAAGCAACAGATGTTTCTACAGACAGTACTTCAAGCTCTTCCTCCTTTACTCCTACATTGGTCCTTACTATGCCAGCCAGGAGAATGAGAAGAATGACTTCCTAAAGAAGCTGGCAGAATACTGTGAAGAGAAGAGCACAGGTATATATCCTCCATTTCTGACACTTTTCTATAGAAAAGATTGAAAGCTACTCATTGATCATGGGAATGATCTTCTCATTCACAATGATAAGCGAGATTAGGCACTCAAAGCCAGAGGTCGTTAAAAGATCTTTATCGCATATGTAAGTGAATTTATCTCATCCCTTAGGTACTCAACTCTTCTGACGCTCAAGGATGGATGCTTAGAAGAACACTGCATGGATTTCAGTAATAGACTTGAAGAGACCTTCAACGAGCAGAGAAGCTTCCTCGTCTCTCTCATCGAAGACGAGAGAACCACTAAAGAGATCAGAGTCTTAGCTACCAAGATTCTTGTTCTCTTTGGTAAAGTCAGAGCATCAGGAGAGGACCTACTGATTGCTGTTAACCTGATCAACCAGCACAAGCTTGGCATAGATCTCTCTAACGAATTAAATTTCAAGGTTAACAAATCAGAAGGGGCTGCTTCTGATAATAATGCCAAGGATTCGTTCAGACTAGATACAGAGAGTAAGAATCTTTTGACTAATATTTAGACCAACAAATGGAGGTGAAGCTCTTGACAGGCATTGATGATAGCCCAAGTTATACAGACACTGTTAGATATGCCATGGATGAAAGCTACATTTACATGACCGTTTCAGGCAAAGGCGTCTATAAGATAGGATACACAAAGAGTGTTAAGGTCAAGCCTGGACTAACATACGCCAAAAATATGTTTAGAGACTTTAAGGCTAAGGTAATCTCTGTTGCAGGAGACAGAGTATATTTGAGACAAAGCGAAGATCAAGAAACTCCTCTCATAATCCTTAACAAGCAAACACTTGAAGAAGATAAGGAAGATAAAGTACTCAAGTCTCTCAATAACAACAAGAGGAATTATGATGAGGATGATTGGAACAAGCTCAAGTTCGAAGTCACTAATAAAGATAAGCTCAGAGATATAATTAACAAAAGTATCAGAGGATCTTTCAGATGCCTGACCAAGACTCCTCTCTTCTATGACGGAGAAAGCCTCTGTGTGATTTCGATTTATTTTGTAAAAGGTGAGACTGATCAAGAATTTGCACAATTCCAAACAATGGAGAAGTACTTCTCCTTAGAGATGTACGATCCAGAGACAATGACGTGTACAGAGACAAAGAAGCTTGATCTTGAGAAAGAAAATATAGAAGGAGAACAGCCAACACAAGCTCAGATCGAAGAATTAGAAGATTTCAAAGAACATCTGTATGACGAAAGGTTCCAGTCAGTTACTCTTGCTCATAACAGAAAGAATATTGTCATCATTTACGATAACTATATGTACATTTTTGACTTTGAATCTGGAAAGAGAATTACTGAGAGAATTGAACTTCCATTCCAGCCACTAGCTTTCAACATCAAAACCTCCCAGTTTTGGTATGTCGATCCAGATACATCAGATTTTACCTTCAAGACCTTGTCAATCTCAGATTTTGATATGAAGAAGGATGAACTCAGAGTTCAAAATCTTGGTTCTCTTCTTCAGAAGAGAGTAATTTCATTGAATTCTGAAATTCAAAAGAACTCAGTAAAGATTCCAAAGAGGAGTGCTATGAACCTGTTAAAGGGTCTCACTAAGTCTACAACAAGCTATTCTAACGGTCAGAAGGTTTTGGACAACAGCCAGGAAATTAAGTCAGACCAATCATCATTCTTAGTGACTTCTAAGCTGTTTTATTGTGCTAGAGAGTGCGAAAATCTGATAAATGATCTTGAATCTATTGACAAGAACAACCATGAAGAAATACTTCAGCTAGAGACAAAGCTTTTCAGACAGCCATTTGGAATCACTATTGGAAGAGAGTACTTCAACCAACTCTCAACATCCCTGGCATACTTCTTTGCTAACCTTGGAAAGGGGAATAACCCTGGGGATATCCTAATGTATCACCAATTCTATTCTGTTTTCAAGCTATTGAGCCTCGCACTCAAAATTTCAAGGATCTTAGATATCCCTATGGAGACCATCCTTCAAGATTCAGATGAAAATGATGTGTTCTTCAGGAACCTGAATGATATAGTTACTATGGTTTCTGAGATTTACTCTAATATTCCAAGTCCTTCCCAAGAAGGGTTCAATGAGGAGCTGTACTCACTTTGGAAGGAAGTGCAGATTATTTCACAAGAAATCCAGTTCCTTCTGCTAAACCTCACTTCTGGGACTTCTAAGATTACAATGGAATCTAAAATCAAGGACTTAATCAATGCTTTTGAAGAAGGAAATGTTGATTTTACCAATGTTCTCTTCATGAAATATCTCTCACAGCCTTTGACCATGGAAATAGTCATCTGTGACTCCAAAGAGGAGACGACATTACCCCTAATGCTACAGCTATTTGAAATCTTGGTCAAAAAGAAGACCACTAAGACTATCAATCATCTTGAAAAACTTGGATGGGATACAGAAAGAGCTTCCTTCGACTATGATGAAATTGAAGAAGTCTCTGAAGAATTTATCTATGAAACCTCTAAGAGAATCCTGGTCTACATTTTCTCAAGATACAAAAGACTCTATGATGCTCACGAAGAAGACAACAAGAAAAGAGTCGAGACTGTCAAGAAGGAAATTGACGATAAGATGGTCTACTATGACCAGATAGTTGAGATCCTCTCCAGCTCAGCCATTAAGATCTTTGACTCTACTACAGAGAAGAGCAAGGCCATTGTACAAACCCTTGAGGAAAACTTAATTCATACTGAGCTCTTCCTTCAAGAAAATAAGGATAAGAACAAGAAGGTTGCAGAGATTTATTATAAGCACACTAATCATCTCAATGAGATTATTGTAGAAAATAACAAGTTCCTAGATTTGCTATGTATCTACTCTCTAGCGCTTGGCTCAGAATATGAAGTTGAGATCAACCCTCATAATATTAAACTGATTCAAAACTTATTGAAGGTCCTTTCTTCCTATACCAAATACGCACATTTGAGTAAAAAATCTATGATCTTTAAGAAAGATGACCACCATGTGATCAAATCTCTTGATCTCGGAGTAATGAGAGACATCACATGGAGTTTAGCTAAGTATGCTGGTGGATTAGGTATCCCTCAAAGTGATAAGCCAGATAGCAATATCAGAGAATTAATGCGTTCAAAACTCTTCTCTGGTGGAATTGAGGACAGATTTATCACATCTTTCAATGATAAAACAAAATCTGAGCTAAAGATCCTCCAAGAGTATAAAGGAGATAAGCTTGATTTCGATGCAAACTCAAGATTCGACTCTCATCTCTATTCCATTGTTCACGAAGGGAGAGATGAGTCTCTTGACCTTTTCATCGATTTCCTCGCATGGTATGATACAAGAAATGATAAAGAACCACAAGAACTCTCAGCTGAAGAAAAGATAATCATTAGATGTCTTTTTTCCAGTATTCTAAAACTAAACGACCTTGTCGACACCTTCAAGAAATTACTTCAGAGCTTCTGTGTAATAGCAGGTACTTCTCCTTCATCACAAAAATTCCCTGAACTTGCCAACCAATTCGAGAGCACTCCTGATTTCACGATCCTTGCCAAAAAGTGGAACTCTTCAGCCAAAATAAAAAGCTGGTATTCCAAGTGGGAAGAGACGACCAAAGACCAAAAGAAAAAGAAAGAAATGGAGAAGCTAAAGCAAGAAGAGATTAACAAAGAAAAGGCTAAGAAGGAATCTGAAGATTCTAAGGAAGACTCCAAGGAATCTCCTAAAGAGGAAAACAAGGGTGATACTAAACCAGATGAAGCCTCCAAGGAAGAACAGAAGAAAGAGCCAACTGAGAAGGAAGATGAGAAGAAAGAAGACAAGGAAGAGGAAGAGAAGATCGACACAACCAAGAAAGAAGATAAACCTTCTGTGGATCAGGAGAAGATCGATAAAGCAGTTGAAGAAGCTAAAGCTTTGCTGATCAGAGACACTAGAGAAAGAGCAGAACTTTTCCTGATCCTTAATCCTCCTGAGGAGTGGAGTAAAGAGACCCAGGAATGGCAACAGTCTATTTTAGCTAAGAGAGAACATGAGTTTGACACCAAGAAGAATAAAGATAAGAAGAATAACAAGAAAGGCTTTGCTGGCTTACTTGAGAAGGTCACCAAGAAAGATTCAATAGATACTTGCCAAGGAGCACTTCTTGATTACTATTCACAAACTGGAATTGATAAGGAAATCCACAGGCAGCTTGAACATTCCTGGCTAAACGGGTATAAGCGGTATGTAGGACTTGACATCCTCGGAGAACTTCTGAACTGCAAACTTGAGGAATACGAATTAATGAATACTGTAATGTGGTTCATGAAATCTATTAAAGGAAATTATGCCAGAATCACTGACTACGTATGTCTCGTGAAAGGATGCGGGCATACCATCACAAATCTTATCAAAGAGTCTTTCTTTAAGTGCATCAGAGGGATCTCATATCAACTCACTACTGGGAAAGAAATCAGTGAAGGCATTTTGGAGCTCCTATTTGAAGCCTTGATCTGGAAATATGACCCAAGAGACCACAAGTCTCTTGCAGAGAGTGGGATTATTGAAGCTCTGACCGAAGGAAATGGAGTCACCGAAGGAGAATTTAAAAGTATTAAGTACAAATGGGGTCACAATATCTTCAAGAAGGATAATCTAGGAGTAACTCCAGCTTTCTACATGATTTCTATATTAGAAAGCATCGTTTCCAGCGTTTTCTCACAAGCTAACTCCAGTAAAGATAAAGAGGAGTGCAAGAAGGACGAATTGCTTAAGGTTGGTTTAATGAGATCGCCTAACGAAGATACACAAATTCTGATTCAGAAACTATTTATGGTGTTCTTCAATCAATTTGATAGATATGTGAAGCTAATCGACAAATTCAACCCAATCGACTGGAGAATCTTTGTACAAGAAAGAAATAAACAGAGAGCATCAGGACAGAGTGCCGCTCTAGACATGGAGACCCAACAACTTCCAGACGAACTCACCCCTGAAGAAGAGAAACACAACAGAGAAGAGGAAGAAAAGAAGGATGTTGAAAGAGAAAACAGGAGAATAGAAGAGGCTAAGGATGAAAATGCTAATCCTAGAGATTTCATCTCAGAGATCACTCAAGATGAGACTGAAAAAGAAATGAAGAAGATTGGAAAAATATATGATTATCATACCCTAACTAAGATGCTAAGAATGCTTGATATGTTTGCCTCTATTGCTTCCGTTAATGAGGTTTTAAAACACTACCTGATAAAAATCTTGAATGAAACTTGAATTGATGTACTACTGAATCTATTCTTGGTATCTCAGCATTCTCACGGTTTGATCATCTTGAATATTTTCAAAAACCTACTGAATGTTCAATTTGATATCAAACTCTTTGATAAAGTAATTGCTAATTCCCAGAATGAGCAAATAAAGAAGATTCTAGGGCTCAAGACCAAATTTGATCTTTCTTCATCAACTTTCCTGAGATTCTTGTACAACCAGTTGTTATCCATCCGTGCTCACCAATGGAGTAACGATCAGTTAGCTAGTTCAGGATCATATGATCTTTCATGTGGAATCCTAAGGCTTCTGCATACAATCTCGAAGGATAAATCTAAGAGAGGCTTCGCCAAGCTCTTTGAGAAATCTCTTGATAATTTCCTTGACTCATCAGATTCATATTCCATTGAAGAATTTGACGTAATTACAAGTCTCATCGAAGGCGGCGAGTACCAAGGCCTCAACATTGGAGCTATGTGCAAGAGTAAGCAGAAAGAGATCTTCGTCATCATCGGATTTGTACAAGAATGGTACAACTTGAAATCTGACAACTCCAATGATGACTACAACAACAATGATAAATTCTTTAAGATTAACAGTAATCTCCAGGATAAGGACTATATCCTTGGATTGACTCGCGAGAAGGATGATTACTCAAGATCAACTCTGGCTCTATACAATCCTCAGGAGGTAACTGTGCTATCCAATTTCAAGAAATCTCAAAGTAGCTATCTCCTGAACAAGGCGAAGCTGGACAAGTTCATCAAAGCTATGAACATAGATGTGAGCCCAGACACAAGCGATTCATTATCCCTCACAAAAAGATGTATTGGAATGAAGATCCTAGTCCACATGATTGAAAGATATGGAGACAAGCTTAATACTCTCTTTGAACTAGAGTTCAAAAACAAACTTGTGGGTATTCTTATGAAAGAAAGTACTAACAACAAGGAAGCTGGAGAAAAGATCCCAGCTGAATGGCTAGAGCAAAAGCTCTACTCCATCAAGAGTCTTGCCACAGAGTCTAGTAGTTCTCTCATCTCTAAGAAGGAAGCCATCATTAGATTCAGTCAGCAAGTTATGAGTCTGAGCAAGCCATTGAAGACCTCTGAGAAGGAAATCTACGCTAGAAGTGTTGCATTAAAAGCAGGAATGAACTATGGAAAGGTAGAACCTTCAATGAAATATAAGGTTCTTCCTTATGAGAACATTGAAAGCTCCTGCTTTAGCGATGAAAATGTGGTTATCTGCGACTCCTCTCAGTGAGACACCACTGAGAAACTTCTCAAGATCTTTGAGAAATGCAGCATCATTGTAACCTGTGATGTGGATATTAGGAAACTACACAAAGAGCTCAAGGCGATCGACAGGAAGATTTCCTATTTCAAGAGTATAGTTCTGATCGATAAATCAGAAGTTACAAACTTCTTAGAGATCATTAGCAATGACCCTGACTTTGACTGCCCCTCAACTGATGAAATGAGCATGAATGAAACATTCATAGCTGAAATTTCAAATTTCCTAGGAATTGATAGAGCAGAAGTGAGAGAAGCCATCAAAGGAAATGAAGGTGACCCCCTCTCTAAAAAGGTAACTGCTCTCACCAAGAAGCTTGAAGAGAAGTATTCTAAAAACAAAGATGATAAAGAAGAGGAGGAAAAGAAGGAAAAAGTAGAAAATGATGATGGAGACGAGTGGTTTAACCTCAAAAATATTGAATTCGAACAAGATAATAACTCCACACAAGGATATGGGCTCAATACAGATCCTAAGTTCTCAGAAATCGTTGATACACTTGCTGCATATGACAGTGGAAATTATAGCCTGGAAGCAGATGGTGAGAAGAACACTCAGTATAATATTTATGAGAAGGTTTATAAGAAGCTAAACTCTGATGTCGAGAGTGAATACTTAAAGACCTTATCCTTCTACTACAAGCAATTATGCAGGAAGTGTATCTCAGCTTTCTTCCAAGAGCTAAACATGAAAGAGGTCTTGAAATTAGTCCAGGAAACCAGTGGAAGTTTAGATAAATTCATGAGCTATATACTAATCAAAGGAAATGAAGCAGCTATGACAATGCACAATACAAAAGAGACAAAGCAACTTGAAGAATTTGAGGCTTTAATCTCCAAACTTATCAAGACTTGAAATGAGAATGAAGAGTTTACAGATCTTTTCCAGATATTCTACAAGAAGTCGATCATCAGGCATAACATTGATATTCTGACCTCAGCTATTAAATCAAAGAGTGATAACGTAGAGTCATTATACGGAAATGAGACTGTTGGTGCTAAGACATTGAATGTGCTGATCATCCCTAACATACTATCTATCATGATGAAGACCAACAAGGATTATCTCTACAGCAACGAGAGTCAATTGGATGATCTGATTAGCATGTTGTTCTTGATTACACTGACCTTCAGGACTGAATTCAAGCTTCAAAAGAGTATCTACTTGACTATTTACAAACTTTTGCTACCAATTGCCAAGGATCCAGACAACTATAGCTATGAGATCAAAGTAAGTCTCCTCAAAATCAGAGTGTTCCAAAGAATGATTGATAAATGCAAGTTCGATGTGACTGTTTCCAGTGGAAACAGGCTCACTGTCGAGCAGAAGCTCCTCTTTGAGATATTCTCTGTGTTCCATAAGATTGATTCAAGCATGAGAGAGTCATGGTCCCTCTACACCTACACAGATACTTTACTTGAACTTGAGAAGAGTAAGTTCATTTTGAGAGAAGGAAAAGGATTTGACATGATTTCATACCTGATGTACTTTAACAATGAACTCAGTGGTCCTCAGCAGCACACCAAGGCTTACGCGGAGACTTTCCACAACCAATTCAAAACAAAGATCAGTTCAAAGATTGCTTTCGAAGGATTCAAGAAAATGACATTCAGGTTCGATGAAATCTCGGATATTGATTCCAAAAACTTCATTGGTATTAGCTCAGATCCAGCAGGAGAAAGTATCCTAAAGAAGTTCTCATACGAAGATATGAAAGGAGGAAAGAGTGTAGATATCTATTCAAACCAGTGCTACATCCATTACCCATATTCCCCACCAAGAATCCTAGCTACAGGAGAGAATTATAACTACGAGCTTGGACAAGACAACTCCAGCTCTTATGATAAGACTGTTGAAATGATGAATTACACAGAGAAGGTCAAGAAAGTCATGAACTCAGGCAACTACACAGTTGTTCTGACTGAGAACAACCAGTTGTACTACTGTGGGTACAAGAGCTCATTTGAGAGGACTAACCAGACTCTGATCAAATATCATAAGGTAATTCCTAAGGGAGAAATCAAGCACATTGATTGTGGAGGAACAACCATGATCATGGCCATGGATGACGGAAAGATTTACTTCGAAGGATACGACACTGGCTATCACTACAGTTCATGCTACGGTGAGGAAAAGTACACACTGAAGTACAAGCAGAGACCTAATGAGGAGGAGGAAGAAATTATTGACCTGAATGTTGGCAAAGATTATCATATGTACATCACTGCAGACGGGAAGTTATATGCCCTTGGAAATACTATCTTTGAGTCCTTAAATATTCCTCGTACAGATGATGGAAAATATAAGCAAATTGAGCTAGATGAAGGAGTCATTCCAAAGAAAGTCATCTGCTCAGAAAGTGAATACAGTGAGAAGACAGTCTTCCTTCTTGTCGAGGTTGAAGGTAAAACAGAGCTTTGGTCTGCAGGAAAGAGCAATTATGGTCTCCTTGGACAAGGGGATGGCATTTCTGTCTCTGAAAAGTTCAAGCCTGTAGAATATGACAAAGAAAACGTGACCATTAAAGACTTCGAAATGAAATATGACCATGCTGTTGCAATCACCACTGATGGAACTCTCCTTGGATGGGGAAGAAATGATGATAAGCAGCTTGGATTCAGTGAGAATAAGAACTTCTACACTCCAACTAAGATCCCTTACTTTGAAGACTACACTGTCCATGAGATAAGCTGTGGGATGTATCACTCTGTTGTCAAAGCTTCTATCAAGTCTGAAAAAGACAAGGTTAAATTCTTCAACTTGGGAAATAACAATGGATTCAAGAATGATAATAAAACAGATGATGGAATTCTCTACTTGGAAGAATTTGATAATGTCGAGCCTAAATTCTGGACATGCGGTAAGAGAACAACCTACTGGATTTTTGACGGAGAGGAATCTGGAGCTGAAGGTGTTGGTATACATGAGGGCTATACTTGTGATTACACTAAACAGACCCCAATCGTTGGGACGATGCATTTCTACCAAGATAGCAACAAAGAATGGCATTTCTTATCTAAGGAAGGATATGAAGCTTCTAAAGAGGATCTTCCAGATATTACCTATGCCACGAAATATCACATTGAAGATATTCAAGGAAAGGAGTGGCCAGAGTTTGATAGTACAGATACCCTTGAAGAGTCAAAAGACAAGCATGATTGCCAATACATTGCTAGTCTCAAGATAAATGGCGAACAGGTTGCTCCTGCTCCAAAATATACTGAGAAGGAAATGTTTGAGAAAGAAGTTCATGACATGAACCCAATAATTTTCTACCGCCTAGCAAGACCACTCAAGGAAGATAAGTCTTTGCCAATGTTAGAGCTAGAAAAGTATCATGAAAAGACTGAATTCTATGGAATTAGAGTAGAAGCTGACCCTGACTATTCCTTCATGAAGAACGAATTCATCATGGCGCTTGAGATCGATAAATACACAGCTATTCAGAGTAGGATCCAAAACTTTGACTCTAACTACGACGAAGAACTCATGAAGCAAATTGAGAATAACCTAGAGATGCAACAACAAAACTTCATTGAGTGCCCTTATGTATTCCTCATGGCTGCGGAGCTCGAGTTTGAAGACCCAAATCTGAGAGCACTACCAACTGAAAATATCCAGTCAAGGATAGATTCCTTAGTAATGTTCAATCAATACTTGCTAAAATCTCTGCCATTCCTGTACTTTAATGAGGGGCTGATCCATAGAGAAAACTGTGGAGAGACTGAACTCGAGACGGAGTCTTTAACTGCCTGTTTCATTGAAGGTAAGAAATATGCCCTTGAAAGCATCAAGAAGAGTTACTTGAAGACAATCTCTGATACTCTTGAGAAAGACTACAGCACTCCAAGCATTGAAGTGAATACTTCTCAGATCAAGAAGTGGTACGATGAAGGAGTTTGTGACACTATGGGCAAGAATACCATGTTTGGCAAAATGTTCAAGAAGCTCAAGGAAAAACACTTTGAAAATCTTAGAATCGAAGCATCAACTAATTATGGATGGTATGCCAACTTTACAAATGAAGGCAACAGTAATGATGGAACTTACAGAAAGTGCCAGTCATGGATGATCGATGAGATTCATAGTTCATTCCTGCCCTTATTCATTCCATCAAAGAACAACAAAGAGAAGAGTGGACCTTTCCAGGATAGATGGGTGATTAACCCCTCTTGCACTTCTTCATTACATCTCGAAATGTATAGATTCGTTGGAGCTCTGATCGCAAAGGCCTTCAGATCTGGACATGTCATGAACTTCAGGTTCCCATCACTTTTCTGGAAAAAGTTCGCATGTGAGCCAATGACACTTGAAGATATCGAAAATGTTGACCAAAATTTGGCTCAGACACTTAAAAACTTGAAGAAAGAAGATCCTGATAATAACATTCAGCATAAGCTGAGCTTCACTGTTGAATTATCTGATGGAACAGTAGTCCCTCTTCTTGAAAATGGGGAGGAAGCTTATGTTAACCCAAGCAATGCTCAAGAATACATTAACTTGGTCCTGAACAAGAGATTTAGTGAATCTCAACTACAAATGGATGCTCTCAAGCAAGGATTTGATGTTGTCTTTCCTAGTGAAGCCTCCAGGATCCTCTCTTGGCAAGACATTGAGTCCAGAGTCAGAGGAGATGAGTGCACAGTTGAGATCTTAAAGAAAATCACTGATTACAGCGATATGAACCAAGATGATGAATGGGGCACCAAGTTCTGGAATATCATTGAAAGCTTCACTCCTGAGGAAAAGAGCAGATATCTTAGATGTGTAGGAGGAAGAACCAGGATTCCACCACCTGCCAGACGTAATGAACTCAAGCACAAGGTTTACCTTAGAGATGAGCATTATTTCAGTAATCACGATGAAAATGATGTTACTATTTACCCAGAAAGCTTCAATATCTACTTAAACAGGTTCAGTAGTGAGGAAATCATGAAAGAAAAGATTCTTAAGGCAATTGAGAATTCTGAAAAATACTACATTTATGGTAAAGGAGACAAAGACTCTGAGAAAGCCGATGATGATTCAGACAGAGAGTCCCAAATAATCGATGAAAGAAGCCTCTCTCAGTACTCTGTAGAAGATGGATCAGACTCCGACGAGTCTGAAGGAGAAGAAGACGAAGAAGATGGCGAAAGCGGCTCAGATGATGAAGACGATGATGCAAGCTTCGATCTATTTCGCTAATTCTGTCAAGATTACTACATTGTAATCATCTACTTCATTTACAAGTTCAACCTGAATTCATTTGTATGGGGTTTTGGGGTTTTGGGGTTTTGGGGTTTTGGGG